TGGCCATTTTCCCTCCCGTGACATGTGGTCCATGGCCATTTTCCGCCCCGACACATGGTCTGCGGCCATTTTTCCGCCCCTGACATGTGGTCCACGGCCATTTTTTCGCCCCTGACTCTCCCTCCAAGCAATAGCTGCCTCCCTGTCCTCCACGCCAGAACAGATTAACGGTAATTACATTGAACCTTATGGGAAAACTTGCCTCGTGTTGCGACCAATTCGAGTTGCAACCAGTCACGGAATGGATTAAATTCGTAACTTGAGGTACCACTGTATATAACAAGTGTGGTTTAAAAGAAAGTTTAAAATAAAAAAACCAGCGAGAGAGAGAGAGAGAGGGAGAGAAAAGAGATTTAAAACAGTCAAATGAAAGCCAGGGAAAATTCTTCCAAGATTTCCGAGTTGTGTCGTGTTCATAGCACTTATATCTTCTCCTGACATCCAGTGATACACCACGAGTGAAAAACGTTTGTGACAGGTTGATAGATTTAACGATTTCCATCTGCATTTGTGTGTTTATGTATTTTTGCCTTCCTGGCTGAATAATCTTTTCTATAGTACGCCTGATGGTGACTGTTTAGCAATATTAAATATGCACTTAATTACCCATCCTGGCTTCCTGTTTCCCTTTGTTTGCATGCTACTTACTTTTCTTGCAGTGAGCTGTGATGAGAAAGGAAGAAAAAGGAGAAAGAGGAACAAAATGTTCTTAGGGAATTTATATTAACAGTTTGTGAAGTAGGGGAATGTGTGTACAATCCCTGGTTTGTTAGAAAAATTTGCAAAGATAAACAGGACATGTATTACACGAATCTTTTTTTTAAAGTACCTAAAATTCACAGAAGCAGAACACAATCTTCCTGATGTGAACAAAAAGGTGAGATAGAGGTTCTTAATCTGCACAGCCCTAGTGAAAGTTCTCCATCCTTGAAGGGCATGGAAGAATGATCAAAATATTAAGAGTATGGGATCTGTTTCCCAGGATATATCTCTTTAAGTGCTGGACACAAAGATTAACATCATGGAATGGTAAAGTTGGAAGAGATCTGATGGATCACCAGGTGCAACCCTCAATTCTTCTACAGCACTGCCACCAGACACCATCTGGCTGAAAATGGTGGGGTTGATGTCCTTATTATTTTATTAATTGGCTAGCTCTGTATCCTGCCTCCCCCCAAGAAAATCAAAGAGATCTACATTCTCTCTTCTAGATTTTCCCCAGAACAAGCTGGGTTGAGAGAGCGTGACCAGCTCTAAGTTCTTCAAGGAGCTTCAGGGATGAACCTGCCTCTCTGAGATCCTAATCCAACATCTACTCCAGTGTCCCGTGTCACCTGTCCTGTATTGTGGGGTGGAGAAATGAAAAACAATCCACCAGCACAGCCTTAATGCAAATTCAGCAGTGCTCTGGTGTTGATTCTCTTCAACCCAGCAAGATAAATTCTCCAGACTTTCTTCAAAGCAAAGGGTTTGGCTGGCCCAATTACACCCACAGAGCTCCAATTCAGGGTTAGATTCCAATTATGGTCACCTCAAGCTTGTTAGTTTTCTTCCAACCCTCTTTATTAAAAGAGGAGGTGGAGGAGGAGGACGAGGAAATAGTGTTGAGGCTATAAACCACCCTTTCATTGACCTGAAGTTGACACATATTGGGTGTAGCGTTTCTATTCCTGAACTTCGAACTAAATCATCTATGACACTCCAAACACTGCAAATTACAAGGATCCATCTGGGGTTAGGTAGGAAAACAACAATAACAACATTGCTGAGATTGGCCCTCTTGGCAATGTTGAAGACCTTAATGGATGTTCCGGGTGCAAAACCCATCTTAAAGCAAGGGATGGGCCTTAAAGCAAGGCCTGGAAAAGGGCATTGTGTGTCTGTTTCTGCTGGCCTATCGTGAAACATTGACCTTGTTTGCTTCCTGAAATTTAGACCTTGCTTTTGTTAAACTCAAGGAGCCCGATTAAAAATGAATCCCAGGCTGGATTGAAAAGTGCATTCGTAACTAACTTCACGAGGCATCTGACGTTTGCAAGAAAATGAAAATGTCCGACTAATAGCTATTTCCGCCTTTATTGCTGATTTTAAACCCCTTCTATGGATTGACCCAGGAAGCCAACCGGGGTTGCATTTGCACAACACGCTTCAGATGATGACTGAACCAACCCACGTCCTGCGTTCACACAATACGTCAGGCTATCAGCTAGTCAACTGGCTAAGATGCACAACTGCAGAGCACTTCCCCAAGATTAACCGTGCCTGGCTTCTTGGGTGCCTAGTGCTGCTAGATCGTCCCCTAAAACGTTAAGCAAATTGTATGGATGCATCCATTATAGAGCACAGACCATTTGGGGGTGTTCATAGGATGCTATTCGTTGTTTCGTTCTTAGGTTGTCTCGCCGTGGTTGGGTGGGCTTTGATCTCTGAGCCAGACGAACTTAAAAACGCGCTCCAAACTAATTTAAAGCTGGATTCTCAGTTTTGTAAATGGGGAGCCCTTGTCTGACATCGTTTAATTTTTGACTCCATTCCTGGTGTTGCTAGGTTTTATAACAAAGGAGGGGAGGGGGAAAGGATGTGCATAGTAGTCATCCTGGCTAATAAGCAGCTTGGATTGCTGTGTAAATGAAATTCTTCTGGATGGAAAGATTTCCCCAGGCTTCCCAAAGTTTAATTAAAAACCATGATATGATCACAATACCTTATTTGGCACCTGAGACTTTGGGCAGACCGCCTTCAGAGCGGGAGTAACCTACCGTCCCATCTTTTTCGGGTATTAATTGAGCTGAAAGTCATTCTCTCTTCAATGCTGAGAAACATTGAAGCAAAATATTACTTGCTTAGCTTCCTGTTTCTCGTCAGCTTGCCTTTGGGCTGGTCAAGTTTTGGGTTTTGGCCTGATTCCCCTGGGTATCTTTCTGGGGCGGGAGGAGAAACTTCTGCAGATCCCAAAACACTGTTGTCCTCTTTCATCCCCAAGATGCAGGACCTTCTCAGTAGCCCCCATGCATTATGAGGAAGATATTCTGGTCATGCTCAAGAGACAAGGCCAGTTCAGCTCTTGGTCCTCAAAAGTTGCGTCTTCAAGCGGGCAAGTCCATCTCTTGTGCAAAGTGATCCCCAGCCTGGTTTGGAATCACTGCAGGTGGGACGGGGGCACGCTTGCATTTTGGATAAAGTAGGAAGATTAAATAACAACAACAACAACAACAACAACAACAACAACAAC